TACTTTACAAAAGCGATAATATTTAGCAATAATACGTGGTTTAATGCGTACGAAAAGCGTATATTAGCTTTATATGCTAACCGGAAGCCGCATTTAACTGCTTTGTAACCGCGCAAACCTAAAACCCCTTTAATACGAACGTTACAAAATTTAACAAACGCATTTAATAGCAAATCGATAACGCGGATAAAAGCTTAAATTACGTGCAAATGGATTAAATACAAACCAAATTATACGTATTTGTAAACGGGTCCTTTATTAATAACAAAAATTTAAATTTACAAATTGGCTTTTTGGTTGGTTTTGGCGTTAAACAAAGCATAAAGCAAAAAAATAGCTTCCAAATTATTAAAAACATATTGCATTGGAATTTCGTTAAATGCAAAAAGGTAATACGCAATGTTTTTGCAAGCAAAATTTACGGCATGGTTAACGGGTTTAATATTGGTTACGTTTTAAAAATTACGCTTTCCGCGATTGGCGAAAGGTTAAAATTGCCTTTTTGCAAGCTAATAATTTGCATAAATAGCTTGTTGCTTTACCAATGCTTCGTTTAGCTTGGAATAATAACGGAAAAACGCTTTATAATAAATATTATGGCTTTCCGCAAATTTTATAAAGGGCGGGAAATTAACAAAATCCGGTAAATTGCAAAAGCAAATAACCTTGCAAACGTTATAACCAAAAATTAACTGAATAAAACTTTTAAAAATTTCGTTAATTCCAACATTACAACGGTAAAAGTTAAAAAATAAGTAAAGCGAAATTGTTGCAAGCAGAAGGGATAAGCACGGTATAAAGCTACTCCGGTTAATATGCTTTAAAGAGGAAAGGATTTGAAGTGCAGGGTTCCGTAAAGGCCTTTGCCCTTTATATACACGTAACTCCCTATCCTCCTTGCTTACTAAGCTTCCCTTTTAACGCCTGGAAGCGTTATACGCTTTTAAGCAAAGGGACCGCTTTTCCAATGCCTTAAGCATTTAATATTTATGCTTAAAGCTTTTTTACGATAGTATATACTGTTTATTTTGTAATATACCTTTTAAGCAAGCTTTTTGGGTTATTTGTAAATAAAACAAAAAGAAATTGGTTGCTATATTAATAGCGTAGGATTTAAAAGCTTACCGCGCTTTTAAAGGTTAATTGTAAAAACGCATTAACTTCGAAAAATAACGAAGCAAGCGTTTCCCGCTTTTAAAGGGTAATTGTAAAAGCGCATTAATTTCGAAAAGTAACGAAATAAACGCTTTCCGTTGCTAAAAGCAACAAAGCAAATGCTTTAACCATAAAAAATAATAAGGTAAATGCTTTAACCATTATCGGGAAAAGGTGGGCGTAACAATTAAAACCCTTTTTTTTCCATTTCGTTCCGGCTTTTTTTTTTTTCTTTTTTATTACCATTTTTTTACCAATCCGTAAATTTTTACGCTTTTATTCCTATCGTTTAAACTTTTGCTAATATAAAAATCTTTGCAAAAGCAAAAGCAAACAATTGTAAATGCTTTACGCGGCGGCGTAATGTTTTGGAAATTTCGTACGGTACTAACAAATTAACTGGAAAATAAGTATTACCGGTAATAAAGCAACGCGTGCAACCGTTCGAAAGCGCGTTAAGCGCAAAAAATTTAACCGGGCTTAAGCCCAAAAAAAATAAATCGTAACTTTTTGCTTTTTTACCAATTTATTGCTTTTTCGCTAATTTTGTTTTGTGCGCGTATAATGCGGATTTGCAAACGGTTATAATTGCTTTAGCAATTAAAGCTAAGCAAACGGAAAAAGCATTATTTAAAAAAAAAAAAATTTAGCAAGCCAAAAAGGATAAGTAAAGGAAAAGTAAATTTCCCGCGAAAAAGGATAAATAACGGAATATATAAAACGCGCGAAAATAATAAATTGCCCGCAAAAAGGCTTAAAATAACGTTTAAACGATTAAAGCGATAAAAGCGCGTGCGTTTGCCGAAAGCGCTAAACGGGTTAAAGCTAATCGGGCTTGTTATTTTAAACGGATAAAAACTTTGCGCCGTTTTTTAACCTAAACCCCGATTAATATTGCCGTAATTATTTTCGAATTTTCGGTTATTTTTGCTATTTTTTATACCTTTCGTTTTAATTTTTAACCCAACCCGACCGGTGCTTTTTAAGCTTTAGCTAAATTAAATAAAAGCTTTGGGCCCGATTGGCCTATTCGTTAAACGATTAAAATTAATTTTAATTCCGATAAATTCGTTAATCGGTTCGTTTAAAAAAATAACGATAATAACGATAAGCCCGTTGTTTCCCCCGATACCCGGAAGCGCAAAACGGGTAAAAAAACGAGGGTAAATAGCTAAATTAATTCGTTTTTAACCGTTTTCGCGGGTTTTATGCTAACCACCCCTTTTTTTTCCGTTTTAATTTTTAAAAAAAATGTTATTTGGCTTTTCCTTTTAGCGAAACCGTTAACCTTTTTTTAACGGGAACGTTTTAGCTAGCTTTTTCGATAATACCATTCCCCGCGCGGTCCTATGCAATGGGTGCATTAAAAGCTTTTTAATAAAATTTTAAAACCTTTGCAACAATAAGCCCATAACGCGCTTTTTTTGGAATGGTTATATTTTACGGTATATTTAATGTGCTTAAAGCAATTACCGTTACGACTTTTTTCCTTTTTTGCTTTAATTACGCATTGCAATTGCTTTATTCCAAAAAAAGCTTTTGGGTAATTTTCGTTTTAAAATTAAAAAGTTTAAAAAAATGGTAAGCCATTTTTTTAAATTTTACCCGAAACCGGGCAGCAAATAAAAGGATAAGGCCAAAAAAAAGAATAAAAAGGCTTTCCGTCGAAATAATTTTGCTTTTCGTAGCCCGATTTTAAAAAAAAGGGAAAATGGTAATAATAACGAAAAAAGTTAAAAAAGTAGCATTAAAGTTGCAATAATTTAAGGCTATTTTTTTTATGGAAATGCTTTTATTTATTAAATAATGGGTAAAGGCTAAGGTTAGGATAAAAAAAAAAATGGATAAAAAAAAGGTGCAGCGCTTTTGGAAGCTGTACGCGTTATAATTAAATGCCGTTTTATTGTTTAAAACCGGCATGCTTTATGCTTATTAATAAAAAAAAAGTTTGCGTTATGCTTTTATGCAAACGTTATACGCTTTTAGTATTTATTTCGAAGTTTTTGGTTGCGTGTTAAGCTTGCCAACCCGTTTTTAAAAAAATTGTACAATTTTAAAATAGTTTTAAATGTTTTAAATTTGTAAAGCGGGAAGTTTTTGGTAAGCTCGTTTGTTGGCATAAAAGCGGTTTTAAAATATATTACGTTAAACGTTCCTTTTTGGTACTTTTAGCGTAATTACATATTTATAATATCCACGTGCTTTAAAACCGTATTAATGCGAATGCTTTTTTCGATTACTAATTGGATCGTTTGTATATTGTTATAGCAAAGCTTTTAAAAAGTATTAATTTTTAAGCGCAGGTTTCGGAAAAGCCTTTGCATAGCAATGGTTTTTTTTTCGAGCTTTATAAGCGTTAAAAGCTTTGCTTTTGTAGTGGACGTTATAACGGTAGCTTATTTTTTTGCTTTTTACGCTACGGGCTTTTCGAATAAAAATATAACGTATTTTTTAAATAATTTTTTCGTTTTTTTGTCGTTGGCAAAAAAGGCGTTTAAAGCAAAAAGCAAATGGTTAAATTTTAAAACGTTTTTTAGCCGGATATAATAAAATTTCGACCTTTTTAAATACAAAAAGGTATGGTTTGCCGCTTTTAAATGCTTTTTATTTAAATTTGTAAAGTATTTAAAAAGTTTTGCGCTTGCAAAAGCAACGTTTGGGCGGATAGTAATGGCCGTATAAAGTATAAACCCGATTTTTTTTTGCATAGCCAGGACTTTAGCGGGTATCGCTACCCCCAAATTTTTTTTAAGCGTTTGGTTAGGCAAAAGGAAGCGTTTTACGCTTTTGTTCCCGAAATTAAAAGTATTAACGATTTTATCGATATAAAAATTGTAATGCAAAGTTATTGTTCGTACTTTTTTATTTTTTACGATTTAAATTCCGAAAAAAATTTTAAATGGTTTTTTTTTATTTTGTATTCCTTTTTAAAACCGTTTAATATTTTCGTTGCCATTTTTAAATGCGTAATACGGTTAAAGATAATTATATCGTTAACGTACAAAAAAAAAAAACCTTACGTTTTGTACTTATAAATAAATAAAGCTTTTCCGTTAACGGGGTAAGCTTTAACTTTTTAAAGGTTTTTTTAAAAGCTAAATATTATAATTTCGGTAAATTCCGTAGCCCGTACAAAGCTTTTTTAAGCTAAGCCACGAACCTTTTTTAGTAATATTTAAAAAAAAACTTTACGTAAACGGGTATATAATTATCGCCAATTTTTGCGTAAAAAAAAGCTTTGTTAACGTTAATTTAATGCGCTTCGAAATCGAAATAAGCTATAATTACCATTATAATTTTAAAGCTTTTGGTTGCAAACGTAGCAGCGTAAGTTTTTTTTAAACCGTTAAATTATTAATTACCTTTAATTACCGCGCAAAATTTATAATTCGTAACGTAACCGTTTTCGTTAAATTTATAAATAAATACCCAAGCAATATTAATAATTTTATTATTAAGCAAATTTTTCGAAATTTTTTTTAAACTTTTTTTTTAATAGCTTATTAATTTTCCCGAAAGCAAATTGTTTAAATTCCTTTTTATACGGGTACGTATTAAATTTTTATTAAAATTTTAAAATTCGTTGTAATTTGTTTTAATACAACCGTTTGTTTTTTTAAAGGTTATTGCGCTTTAATGTTTTCGTTACGGCAATTATAATTATTTCGTAAACCGGGTAATAACCAAAATTACTTTTTTTAATTACCGTTTATTAATTAAACAAATACGTATCGAAAAAGGTTTGCCAATTTTCGTTTATTAAATTTGCTTTAAAAGCAACGTTTTTAATTTTCGGTTCGAAAGCGTTAAACGCTATTGTTAAACCGTAATAAAAAATAGCGCTATTAAAATTATTGCGTCGTTTGCTTTTCCTTTTTTTTTTTTTTTTTTTTTTTTCCTTTGCGGCCGTACGCGTTACGGCGCAAATCGCTTTAAACGTAATTATTAGCGAATTCGGTAAAAACGCGTTGGAAAAAAAGGTTTTGGGCGAAAGCAAAAGGCCCGTCCTTTTGCAAAATTGGCTTTTGCCTTTTTTAACCGGAGGAAAAAGGGAAAGCGGCGCTTTTTGCTTGTTTAAATTTGCTTCGAACAAATTTTTAAAAGCTTTAAACGCTTTTGGTATCGCAATTAAAAGCGCCGTAAAGGTGCCGCTTATAGTTGCGATTAGCATATCCGGTTCTAAAGTAAGCAAGGACCGGTTTATTGCTTTATAAGGTAAAGCTAGCCTTAACGGTTTTAAAGGTCGTTTTTCGGGCTCGTTGTTACTTTTACCCTTTACCGGCGGAAAGTTATCGCTTTTTCCGGGCCGTATAAAGCTGTAATACGAATTGTTTATACGTAAAAAGCCCGTATTACGCATTTGTTTTGCTTTATAACCATTTTTTAAAGCATTTGGAATTAAAAATTTGTGCGCGTTTAAATTTGGCCCGTTGGCCGAATCCTTTGCGGTTTTAACTTTTATGGTTACGATAAAACCTAATTTTTTTACCCCCAATTTTTAACCTTAATGTTCGGTAGCGAAAGTAAATGTTTAAAGCTTTTTCGGTTGGAAAAGCTTTAGCGCATTAACAATTTTTTTTCGGGTTGCAAGCGGGTTTTCCATTTCGTCGTATTTAATTAGCAAATTATAAATAGTTACGTTAATCGGGGTTTTTTTTTATTTGCTTTTAAAAAAGCTTTTTTTATTAAATTTAACGTTTTTTATAATTATTATTTTTTTTTTAACGGAATTTAAATCCGGTAAATGTTGGAAATTTGGTAATTTATTAAATATTTAACCCCGGCACGAAGGTTAATTTTAAAATGCTTAAAATTTGCGTTATAGGACCTTTTTACGTTTAAAGGATAAACTTTGCACCCGTAAGCGTAAATGCCGTTTTAATCCGGTTTTAAATCGGTTATTAAATTTGTAAAAAGTTCCGGGGCGTAATGCCGGAACCATTTCCGAAATTAATTTAAAAAATGTTATTAAAAGCGCGCATGCTTTTAACGGTAAAAATTTATATTTTAGCTAAACGGTAACGTAAACCGTTTCCGGCTATAAATGTTTAAAAGTTTGCGCTTT